AACCTCTTTGGACAATTTATATACTTATTGAAAACAAGCTACAAAATGTAATACCTTGGAAGATGCCGTTTAATACTTTTTAATAGCCTTAATTTTCGCTAAGTTGATTTATCAACTTTTAATACTTTTTTAAAGACCCCGCGGACACCCTGCCACCACAGCAGCCGCACACGCAGTTAACCTGCCAAAAAGGCCACATTATTAACCCGAAAGTACACAAAAAGTACACTTCAGATGCTTAAGTTCCTTGACATGCTTTGAAATGTCACCGATATCTGTTACGGTTCTTCAACAAAACGTTCACATGTAAGAGGTTTATCTCATTCAGAACAATGGAAATGCTCTCCTTTCACTGATTACTGCACATCACCATGGAAACCTTTGATCTCTGGACACGTTGTTAGCTCAAATATAAACACCTGTGTCATGGAACACGATGATGTCATAACTCCAACTGACATGCTCAGAGCAGCAGACTTCAGATAATGGTTAACACAGTCAATTATTATGCGTATCCCTCGCCATAAAACCAGATGTCGCTGTAACTCCAATGGACACTGTTCGATCGTCCCCCAAACTTCGCTTGTATATGTCCATGCCTCAACAGCTCTACGCCAAATCTGAGATCTCACCAAAGGCTGTTGCCATGGAAACGCATCCCTTGCCATAAAACACAATGTTGTCATGATACATATGCAAATGGTCTAAAACAGCACCAGACTTCAGATAATGATTAATGGTCCGCCCTCAACAGCTCTATGTCAATTATGGGGTGTCATCATATGCCGTTTCCATGGAAACGCATCTCTCGCCATGAAACACGATTTCATGGCGAGATCTCACCATGAAACACGATTTCATGGCGAGATCTCACCATAGGCTGTTTCCATGGAAACGCATCCCTCGCCAAAAAACACGATGTTGTTGTAACTGATATGAAAATGGTCAAAAAACCACCAGACTTCAGATGAAGTCAACGACAATGGTCCAGCCCTCAACATGTCTATGTGCCATTAGTGAGTTTTCCTCAAAAGATGATGCCATGGCAACGCATCCCTCGCCGTAAACCACGATATTGCTATAACTCCTATGAAAATGGTCAAAAAGTGCTCAAATTTCACGTGTGTTAACAGTCCAGCCGTGAAGACATCTACGTGACAGTTTTGAAATTTCTTCAAATACACAATGCTCGCTATGAAACACGGTTTTCTCATAACTTCAGTGAAAATGCTCCAAACGGCCCAAAACTTCACAGGTTTGGTAACGATGCAGCCATCAAAACATCTAAGTGTATTATGGGGTGTCATCAAATACCGTTGCCATGGCGACAGATCATTAGTAATCAAATTAGTTCAATAAGTTCAAATATTCTGCTGCTTTTCCAAGTGTGAAGCTGACAATTGAGCGGCCCAACCAAGCAAGGAGGCAGAGGCAGAACGTCCAAAACCCGGTGTGGGCATTTATTAAATCATACATATGATTTGACACAGCCTCAATCTGCTGCTCCTGTGCGCACAGTCACCAGCCACCACCAGGATCTCACACACACACACACACTCCCTTTCTAACAGCAAAACCCCAGAGCCTAAATGCCCAACCCAATCAACCCAACAGGACACAGGTGAGGGGGGAGGAGACAACACAGGGCACCAGGTGCCCACAATCAACGACAGACATGGGGAAAGGGGAACACTTTTCAACAACAAAAAACCTAAACAACCCGTAACGGAGGCCGAGATCTATGAGCCCAGAGACCACCGTGACACCAAGCTTTTTTACTTGATTTTCTTCTCTTATCACACATTCAAGCCCCCAGTGTTCATGTATCATTTCAATCTAAATTCTTCACTTTCTTCTTACACATTACATTTCAGAATAGCAATTCAGCATCAGCTTTTCAGCATAAAGCATTCCCACAAGCAATTTCTTCAGGAATTGCATTCTCTAGTTATTAGGCTGCTATGCACTATTGGAGTGGTGAGCAGGCCTATTGTTTTGGGATATTTGTGGAGTTGGGGGGTCCGTGAGTGTTTTCTTATTGGTTAAGTGGTCATTGGTATGAAAAAGTTTGAGAAACACTGCGCTAGTGTTTTCTCAACGGGGGGAGCCTCGCTGCGCGGAAATTATACAGATGGCCAGTCCGCCCCTGAAAAATGTCTATGCACACGTTATTATTAATAATAATTTTTTTTAAATGTATAAACATTTTCTTTTTTTTCTCAATTATTTTTTTGTTATCATCTCACGACCCCCACTTTGGGAACCCCTGTACTATAGGACAGTAAATAACAAAAAAGCAGTTTAAAGGGGAGTGATTAGTAAAATATGCATAAATAAAAAGAAAGAATGCTAACTAGGTAACATAAGATAAGTATAAACAAGTTTAAATGATTTGTTATTGGTTGTGATCATATTCTAAAGATGTTTGGATTGTTGAAAAGTATACAGCTCTCTTTCATGAGTGTTGAGAGCTGTATCCATAAATTCATGTTGTGCTCAAAGTGCAACAGATTGATGCATTTAACTTCAACATTTAAAAAAAATCTTCCCGGGGGTGCATGCCCCTGGAACCCCCAGTTTTAAACATATACACTGCAAAAAAACAAAAGAGTAAAAGTAGCTCACGACTTTTTTTGTTGTTGAAAGTAGCTCATCCTAAAAAAGGTTGGAGACCCCTGTTATAGAACGATACATTTGACAATTTTAAGCTTGGCATATTGGAGCGATGAGGAACAGGTGGGGCTTGAAAAGGCCCACCTTTTCAAAATGGGGAATGACAAAAAAAGTTTGAGAACCACTGGGTTAGGGTAACGTAACCCTATTACAACAAAGATCAACAACCTATAACAGGGCCTATGCACAGAATGCAGCTATTCAATACTCATTCTTGTTTAAGAATATGAGCATGTCTACTCAGGGGAGAGGCGGGTGCTGAGGCGATTCACAATCAGGCCAGCTCTAGAGAAGACCCTCTCAGCTGGAATTTGGGCACAAGATGAGGTTTGAGTCTGCGTGATCTGCGTGTAGGGAGGGTCAGCAGCCATATCATTAGCTAGAACTAGCTAGATCTGATGGATTTGGAGATAAACACGAGTGAAGTAAGTATAACCGGACGCGAGAGAGAGATCAGCACTTGCAGCTCTGCCCCACTGTGAGGGACCGGTGAGCGGAGTAAAACACACCTTTAGACCTAACACACTTAGCTAATGCACTGTCGTATGCATTGAATTATTCCATTTGATAATATGTTATCAACTTAGGCACCCCTCGCAAAAAAATTACAATAAAAATATTCATAACTCATATTCGAATACCTGAATCATTTAGAATATTAAATTAATCCTTCTCATCCCTAATTATCATACCTGCAACTGTGCAAAAGTAGAGAATTTAAATTGTATAATGAGAGATTAAAAAAAAAAAGTTGTACAGCATTGTAAATGTTGATTTTTTTTATGTGACCGTTTAAGTGAAGCTTAAAAAATGTCTACAATATGTACAGCCTGATACTTGAAGTCTCAGGTTGAGAGAATTGAGCATGTGGAACAAAGATTGTCATGTACTTTGACCAGCTCAGAAATGTTTACCTACTGTGTTATTCAAAACCATACTGCCATATTAGTCAGTATGCCTAAATAAATAGTATGTGAAATGCTATATGCCCAAAGATTTGAGGATGACCTTCTGCATCTGGTGGCATTATTTTTTGGCTTTACTTACCCACAATCCATTGCACAGGGGATATCTGAGCTAAAGGGTCAATGTTCAAGTTGCAGTAGTATGTCCCAATTGTATGCATATAGCACGCAGCCTCAACTTAGTAGGTTATAATACTCAACATGTGTCAATGTTACCCAGTTATGGCATAAAATATCAGATTATTTTACCTTTGTCCTTCTTGAAGTCAAGTGCATCCTGCTTGTCAGTGACAATCTCCTTCATGTTGACCACACTTCGGTGTTTGAGCTGCCGCAAGATCTTGATCTCTCTGATGGCTGTGATGGGGAAACCCTCCTTTTCATTGTCCAAACGTACTTTCTTCAGAGCGACCAGTTCACCTGCCATGTTAAAAAAAGAACATATCTCAATGAGAATTGACACTCTGCCTGTATTTACATTAAACACATAGGAGTATCATAGTGACTCACGTCTAGCTATAACTCCCTTACCAGTTTCTTTGTCCTTGGCCTTGTACACTTGGCCGTAGGTGCCTTCCCCTATGATGCCAATAATATTGAATTTATCTACACAGCGTTTGCCCCAGTCACTCTGGGTGTGTTTGCGCTCACCATATCGCGCACAGCAAATCCTGTAAACCATCAAATAAAACAAAAATTTGACTTGATTTGGGATGCAGAAGGGGAAGTTTGGACATGGGTAAGTAATTAAAGAAACTGACTTTGGTCTCTTCTTAAGGACTGCCGGGGGTAGCGGTGTGGCCTGGCGGATGGGGCACTGTGGGGGTGAGGAGTCACCTCCAGGCAGGCAGGGTGGTAAAGGAAGGTCGATCAGTGATGTCCGGCTGCGAACTTCCTTCTCCTTCCTGGATGGCCTCTGAGGAGGGGTGGACTTCTTTGGACTGACGGAACAAAATAAAAAGAGTTTTAGAGAAAAGTATAAATTGTTGAAGCGACAAGAGAAACAAACATTAAATTTATACTTAAAACTGTGGACGAACAACAATGTAACTCTAAGGTTGGGACAGAGCAGACCATGAGAGCATGGGACTTGGACCTTACATTAATAGAGGATTTGTAATAATTTATTATCAAAGTTATCAGCTGCCTCTTACTCTGCTTAGAAAGGTTAAGCATGGGGGCCTAACAGAGCATTTAACATACAGTAAGAACATTATGATAATTTATGCGAATTATGGGGAAAAAACGTCAATAGTAACTTGTTTGTGAGTCTGTTATGTACTCCTTTTAACCAGAAGCTCAAGTTCATATCTTTCTATGTGAACATTTACATTAAATACATGCATTTTACATTTTTGGGGGGAATCAGGTGTGGAAGTAGCAAGACCTGGGAGAGCATTTTTTTTGCACGAGTGGTTTTGTTTTGTTTCATGTACTTTGGTATATTTGTATTAAGGACACACTTGAAAACAAAACGGCTCATCTTAAGGGTCAATATACTTATTACCTATTTATCCAAATTTGATGCATGAAATAGAGTGCGTCACTTTAAACTAAGATGTGTGATGATATATTTGTTCCAGTATAAAAAGAATTGGAATTAAGTAACAACTGAAAGAGTCTGAAGTAATAGCGTTAACTTGTCACAACTTAACAAAAAAAGTGATGACTCCAGAGTCATAATGATGTTAAGTATGGCTTGGTGGCAAAAAGGGATAGAATTCATTGCACAAATCATCACTTTCACTTCATAAAAGAGATGCATTAGGACCAGTGGGACGTATAGTGTATGTCTGTAACCTTGAGGGGGTACTCACCTCCCCTGAGTGTTTCCCAGCAGTGCAGGTGGTAAAGGCAGGAGAGGCAGAGTCGACGTCTTGTGAAGGGGCATCTGGCGGACAGGGCTGCGTGGAGGAGCTGGAGCTGGAGATTTGGCCTGGGATATGGTTGAGGGTGTAGGAGGCTGAATACTTGCTTCGGCCTGAGGTTGCGGTGGAGGAATCTGGATGGCTGGGGCGGGTGGCGCAGGAGGAGAGGGAGGAGGAGGTGTAGGAGATGAGGTGGAAGAGGAAGGTAGAGGTGCAGAGAACTGATCTTCAGCGCTGGGAGCATCCTGGGATAAGGGCGCAGGTGGTGCGGGCAGAGGTTCAGCTGGTGTTGCAGAGTCTTTTTCTGGTTGGGGAGGTGCAGGTTTAGTGGGCCTTAGGGCGGAGGTGCCTGCAGATTTACGTACTGCCGGAGGAGGGGTGGCAGCACCACCACTAACACGAGCAGCCGCCTCAGCCGCCTGCCGTTCCTTCTTCCTGCGACTTAGCTCTGCTCCCAGGCTGGAGTTGAGTGGCAGGCGGGAGGGGGGGGAGCGGCTCGTTGGCCGACTGCTGTGGGAGCTGGCCCCCGCTGCAACAGAGGAAGTATGTCTCTTGCTACGGGGACGAGAGGTGGAGCGACGAGAAGTCGAGTAGTGCATCGGGGAGCGACTCCTGGAGCGGCCAGAGCGGCTAAACAAAAGAAATACATTTTATAATGCCATAAACATTTTCTAATATACTGCATTTCTACATTAAAAAAAGAGAGCTTTGTTAAGAGTGAGTTTTTGAACCGTTTACTGTTAATCACAAGCTGCAGCTCTATTCCTTACTGTGGCAACTGGAAATAATTAGTGGCTTTGACCAGGATGGTTATGGCCTAATTTGTAATCAGTGGTGATGTTATAGCCTTACTTTTTTTAAGCTACAATCATAGGATTGCATTTTTTGTAATTTGCTTTTATTAATTGATTTTTATTTCTGTTATTCTGATTTGGATCACTTAGGGCTGCATGTTTACATGAAAGGTGATTTAAAAAAGGAAGTCGAGTTGACCATGTCCTGTTAGCCAAAGTTTGTGGTATACATTTTGCAATGGAAAATTAAACAGCTGAAGGGAAATCATGCGATCACCTGCCTGTGTTCACAGTACCTTTTCAGCCTTTTCATGTTTTCACCCCCAAGCTTATGTCTACAGTATAGGGTGTTTAAGAGAATTGACAAGCTTTCATTAACAGTAACTATTTTTGCTAGAGGTTTGGGGACTCTGCAAGTGCAACAAGTTTGCCTGAATTTAAACTTACAATTCAGGTTTTTATAATGATCATATAGTTGGAATAGTTGTAAGCTCAATTAGAAAACACCAAATCAAGTTTCACTATACAAATATAATACTAAATATGACTTGAGGGTTAAATTGGTATTCTATGTCCTCATGCCTGAAGACACTTAACACGTTTCCAATAAACAAGTGTTTCTAAGTTAAAGCTATTATTCCCTAAGATGTGAAGACCAACCTGCAGTTTATACTCACCGAGACATGGGGCTGTTGCTGGAGGACCTGCGGGTGCCATAGGGGCTGTTGGAGCGTCTCCTTGAGTATGGGCTGCTGTCCCTCTCATAGCTGGAGGACCGGTGTCTGCTGCCATAGGGGCTGTCTGATCTCTGTCTGCTGCGGCGGGAAGTGTCCCCATAAGGATTAGGGCTCTGCTGGGCCACCCTCCGCCTGGAGTAGGTGTCATCCACCTGCTGTCCATACCCACTGGCCTGTGGACTCTCGCTGCCAGCCGCTCTTCTGGGACTGGGTGAATGAGCAGCATTCGCGCCCTTCCTGCGTGGGCTACCCCTATTCGAAGACTTGCCCTTAGGGCTGGACTTCAGGCTCTTGGAGGCCTTGCGATGGGTCCTGTCTGCTCGGTTCCTCTGGGAAGAGCTTTGGCTGCCCTCCGCTGCTCGGCCCTCTTTCCGCTGCTGCTTCTCTTTTCGAGTCTTTCCTGAGCGGCTGCTTTCCTTGCTGCGAGATGAGGATGTGGAGGAAGTAGCACTACCTACACTGGCTGCAGGCTGTGTGGTGAGCATCAGCTCCGCACGTTTAGAGTCACCCTCTGGCTGGACATGGCGTTTGGAGGAGGTACCTGAGGAGGCAGCCTTCTCCTTGTTCTTTACAGCAACCCCTTTCTCTTGGTCTTTGCTGTTCTTTTTCTTGATGCCACGTTCGCCATTCCCAGGGTCTCTAACTTTGTTGGGGTCCTTGGGCTTTTTTCGGGAATGTTTGTGTCCCTTGTTCTCCATGTCACCTGTTTCTGCACCGGCCACCTGCCTATCGTAGTCTGGTGACGGCTCCAGTAAATCCCCGCCCCCCCTCTCCGAGGGCCTGGAGGACGGTGGGTCTGAAAAAGTGTCCGAGTCCGAGCTGATATCGTCGTACTCCACGAGAGGCTTCACCGTGTTGACACCAGGTGGCGCCGCATCGCCGAGGGTAACATATTCGGCTCCAGGTGCAGAGGATTCCCGATTAGGTTTGGTTAATTTATGCCGTTTACGTTTTGTAGAAGAAGAAGACATTGAAGATTTTCCAAGCACCTTGCCTTCCTTGCTCGTCTTGTCTCCAGCGGAGGTACGAGTCGTGGCCTGGGTCTGTTGTGGCACGCCGCTAAGGCTGCTGGATTCCGGCTTCCTCTTGGTCCCATGGTGTCGGTCCGACCCAGGCATCCCTCACGCCGGCGTCGGTGCCTCTCCTTCGACTGGGCCTCGGTGGTCCAGGCAATTCATTCACAAGAGAACAGTAGCTACTCCAAATGCCAAATAAACGTGTTACTAAGCAGAAACTGGGCAAGAATACACAAAATAAACACACCAGGCCTGTCACGTCCAGTCCTCCTCAAAGCCAATTCATTCCTCCGAGATCCCCAACATAGTTCGTCAAAGCTGAAAGATGACAAGGTGGCTTTCCAGTGCTGTAAAGTATAGTTCTTTGAATTAGTCAGTGAATGAAAAAGATCCCAAGCAGACATCGGAGCATTGTGGGGTCGTCTCCGTCTCAAATATAGCTAGCACCGCTAGCTAATGCTTGGCGGCTAGCGAGCTGATTCGTAAAAAAGAAAAAGTCCCTTTGTGAAAGGTGTCCTTGTTCGGTGCCAAGTTAAGTAAAGGTGCTTTTATTCCACAGAATTACGGTTTAAGCATTCAGAAACAAGCAAATGCCTTCATTAAAAGCAGCTTGTTTCTCGAACAAAATGAAAACTTGACCCGGTTGGTACTGTTTACATGTTCCCTTTTTAATGCAAGTTTTATCCACTATAAATTCAATATTGTTTAGAAATCATAGTATTTTCGTGTGCAGTAGATGTTCCAGTTTATTATCAATGGCTCTGGGAATCAACCAGGCCTATATTTAGGGCGATGCTAGTGGATTTAATATTATCCACAGCCCTATCTGAAGGAGACTACAAACGCCATTGTGGCTCCTGTGACTGGCAACTTCTCTGCTCATAGCGGAATGAACCGGAAACAGGAAAGCTGTCAATCAAGTGACGTATCTAAGCAACGGCCAATCAGAACACTGTTGTACACAATTTTCCGCCTACTGTACACGTGATCGAGCGACAGCTGCGCAAAATGCTCAGAGATGCAACAATCTGTCCAAGAAAAAACAAACAAAGAAAGTTTTAACCATGAAATGAAGGAACATATAAAAACACTGGTAACCCAAAAGTGGGAAGCTCCCCCTGGGTCTTGCCAAAACCAAGATTTCTGTCATCTGGTTTGTTCTAATTAAAAATAGGACAATTACCCATTAAAGAACAACTGATGTGATAAGGGCAAATTTAGTAGGTCCTGTTTTACTGTCTAATTTTGTAAAAGTGAATAAAATATGAACAATTAAGGTGATCAATAAGGTGCACAACTCAGATGTACACAAGGCCTGTATTGCAAGCAGTAACAGTAAGCGTAAATAATTTGAAACTATAAAGAATAACAGTTCATTGAAAATATAAACATTCCAAACGTCAGGAAACAGATAGGTTTATTCAAATCAAACAGATTGAGGGATAAAAAATTGCAAATCCAAAACAGCTGAACAGGGCTTAAAAAGAGGCTCGAGGCACCTCAGGCCCTCAAGTCTATGCTATCAGTCTTTATTGTGGGTTTGGTACTACGGAGGCTACTTTTTATAATCCAAAATGATCATGCATTAATACAAAGTGAACCTAGTAATGTGAAGTGCCCGTTTCAATGAATAAATTGACAGTCCACTAAACGTTCTAGTTATTGTTTTACTAGTGTAATTTTAGACCCTTGGCTTAATGGTTATGGATTTGAGTGTTAAAATAACCCTTAATTTTCTTCCAGAATTCTAATGTTTATTAACATTCACTACAAATATGCTAATCATTTCTTATTATTTTCTTAAATAAAATTCAAATGTATAATCAAGGAACACCCATCTTGAGATCAATAAGTTAGCCAGATACATGTTTTGTACAATTTTGTAATGCTATTATTCAATGTGTTGAGGATAACACATTATCAACCCTCAAGGTTGCAATGTTTTTTGCTGTTATGAATGATTTCTTATGTGATTATAAGAGCGTTTTCTTAATTGTAACAATAAGTGCAATAACAACGAAAGTAGGTTCCACGTTTAAAGCACTGTTGTCAACTGTCAAGCATGTTCCTTGGTTCGAATACGCAGAATGACGAGCAGCCATCATGGATGCTGATTGGCTCCACTGTCAAACTGGGGCGTGTCCAATGAAAAACAAGGAAGTGGTGTTTTCTACAATAATAACAAAGTTACAATGAATGCAATAGAATAAATAAGAGTTAATAATATACTCTAAGTCATTGATATGGTAAGTGTGTCTTAATAGGAACAATTGTTTGCTTATGTGCTCGATATAGCACACACATGTAATTGTGATAAAAATTATGAGCGCTTTGTTGTACACTTCTATGACAGGGCCTTCTAGTGTAAACGACATTAAAAGCGCTATTTATTATTAGAGGAAGGCTGTCTGAAAGAGATCACAGACTATATGCCCAAGTAATTTAACTTGTCTTTCTTTGTCTTCAGGGGAGGCAATTTATACCGACCACCTGGGATAAAACTAAATTAATGTAACATAGCTCTGAAAACCTGTTGCCTCTAGCCAGGCATTCGTGCTACGTGGGCTGTAGAAAGGTTGACACCCCACTTTGATATTTATCTTTGCTCATATGAGCTTGTAGCCTACTGGACCCGCACTGCGAGCTTTGGTTTTAAGGAGCACCCAGCAAGTAAGTAGCCAGAGTCACCCGTGTGCATTGTGAAATAGGCCTATACATGCCTCGGTGCAATGTCTTTATATTTATTATTTTTAAAGAGATGTAGGCGTAAGACCTGCTCCATTTTAGGCTGCCAGGTCCTATTCCTTTCGGTCTTTTGTGTGGATGGATGGGAAGCTGTGTAGGGGAGAGGAGGGGGAGGAGGTGAGGGCGAAGCAAGCAGATAAGAGAAGTGGCTTATTGGCTGTCTGCTGCCTGTAGCTGATATTCTTTTCATCAAAAATAAGAGGTATTGACGTTTGTTTTACAGGCCGAAAAACAACAACGACATCGCACCCCACTGAGAGGACGGTAGCATGATAGTCGTGGAGGGGAATCGGCGGAAGACGGCCCGTGTCTGTATTTTACTTCGCCTGCACCGAATCCATTGAGTCGGTAACCACCAGTGTCCGACATGGGGAAGGAGGTAAACGGTGTTTCGCGGAGTCGGTTTGAGGTGAGCTAACCATCAACATTACCTGACAGTCACTGACACGCATTCAACGTAGCTGTTTAACAAGTTAGGATATGGGCCTACACTGAGGCTGTCGCTGTATTTATTGTAAAACTGCGCTTATGGTGAGGCTGTTGATGCAGCTTCCGCAGTCAATGTTTGGGATTAGGTCAAATGCTGTTGTTTTGTTCAAACAACATATCCTAAGCATGGCATGTTATGTCGTTCAGGACTCGTGTCGCTATTATCAGTTAGCATACCCGACTGTTAATCGATGAATGAGAGGGCTTTAAAGGACCTCAAATGTTCCACTCGTTTCGCCGTCAAAACAAAGACACTAAGCACGCCGAGGACAGCTCGCCTCCGGCAGACATCAACATATGTATTAAGAAGAAATGTGTTGGCTTCACTTTTCTAAGAAGCAGTTTTATTATGTTCTTCATATATGCCAGGGTGTGATTATTTACCGACTTTATTTGTTGGGGAGTCTGTCGAGCCGTATTGTTGTGAATGGCCGCTGCGGTTGTGGGGGCCTCGGGTAGTGACTGCTACATGAACCCCCTGTTAGCACGGACACTATCAACAAATAGGCCCAAACCACCCCGATGTAACACACCATAACCTGTTATGATAGCACCAGGGCCACATTGAAGCTACACACATATGCTACGGTGTTATGTAGCATTTACCATTGAGTAAACTTTGTGTCGCAGCCGCAAGAAGCGTAGCTGAATATGTTGGTGAAACTTGCACTCAAACGCTTTGGATCCGGCCGGTGACATTGGGCGGCGTGGCCTGTGCACTTGGTGTTGTCTAATCCCCGACTAGCGTGGGATTTGTGTGTGGTTTTATTTATTTTTAACGGTGCAACAGCTGACTACTCGGAAGATTCAGGCCGTTACCTTCTGGCCCGACAGCTGCGGTAGAGCTGCTGTGTCAAGTTAAGGGGATTTGGGGTAGGAAACCGGAAGTGCCACGAACTAGACTTCAAATTAAAATGGGTACATCTTTTAATTTTTTTTTTATTTGAGGTACCTGTTTTAAAGATTTTTCGTGGGAGAAAACACCACTCTTTTTTTCGTAGTCTCCTAGTATTGGTTTAGCGGTAAATGTGGTTTTAATTATGTATACTTTCGAGTATACATTTTACAAATCAGCTCCCTTCACTTTGCTTTAGAAAAAAAAAACATTGTCCATATACTATTTCTAATATGTATGTATCATCCTGTATTAATCCTAGTCAGTATATGTAGACATTATAAAACAGTGATGTCTCCATTGGGGCAGTAAATAATAAACATAATGTGAACAAGTTTAAAAGTCCATCAGGAATAAATTACTTCTCAATTGGTTGGGTCGGATCTCATAGGGTATCTAAGTATAACATTGAGTGTCTGTTACAAATCTTTGATAACAAAACTTAAAATTGTGTATAAGTTTATCTGAGAAACTCATGCAGTCTGTGAAATGTTTAATGGAATGATTGATCTGACATTTTACCTTTTTTAAAAGGTAAATATGTCATATATTTCTTAGTTTATTTGTCAAAGACAATGCTTATTCTTATTTGGTTGATTTTGAAAAGAAATGCAATGTATCTAGGCTTCAAAGTAGTTGAAACATATAGGATTAAAACACAATACATCCTTTTGGCTTATTTCACTTGTCCAGAGTTAGCCCAGTAGTCTAATTGTAAAAAGCCCGAAGCCTGAGACTTGAGATCAAATAGTTACAAAAGCAATTTCTAAACTCTTTGTGGGGAGAGTTTTATTTTAGCAGGCATTTCCAGAAACTTCCTCTTGCACTTTGTCTGGCTTTACTGCTCTGCAGCAGATAGTGATATGATGAATACCAGCTCTAAACAAAAGAATACAGCCCTCTGAAAAGTTGACGGGCATTAATGATCCCTAATTCTATTTCTGAAAAATAAATAGGAATTCATTTACATTAGTTTGTGTCAGAATCTCAAGCGAAAACATACAAAACGATTTTTCCAAAAGATATATTCACTTTGTGTTTTGCTTTACAATAATCTCTAGCTGGCGGTTACAGCTCACCCAGTTTTCTACCTCCTGCCAGGCCTGCTTCACTAGCTATAGCTGACCAGTGGAGAAAACATAATGCTCTGCATTCATGCAGGATCAGGTTCATTTTTTGTTAGATTACAAAAGGGGACAGTGTATGCCTGTCGACCATGCGCATCTGCTTCTTTGGAAATGGCCCTGGATTATTTGGCCACAAAGTAGCGCTGTGGAAGGCGAGCTGTCAGTCAATTTGCCCTAAATCCAAATGTGAAATGTCTGTCCTTTATACCTCGTCACAATTTCAAACGTCTGCGCTGGCAGGCAGACCCTAGACAGCTGTGATTTTGTGGAGTTTGTCTTTTTATCAGAGAGACATAGAAAGGCTATGACCCAGAGAAGGCTGGATTTCTAAAACGGCACACCTGTCAGTTTGTTTTTATGAGCTGATGAATAGAATTTGTGTAAGTCCCTCAAAATCAGAAACTATTGTGAATAAGGTTTAAGGACAGACACCTATAATAAAAAAGGCACACAGTAAATTATGTTAATACCCATGAATCAATGTATTTACACAATCCATTTTTTAATTTTTTATTTTGGGATCATGGATGCTTCATATTTGTAACTGTAAAGAATTGCGCAAATAAGAACATGCTAATTCCTTGTTGATGTAGACACAGATGTTTACCTCTTGTAAATATCATGTGCATGTTTTATTTACACACTTAAGCCCCCGCCTCTCAATTACTCTGTCCCCTGTTTAGATTTATCTTCCAAATAATCTATGGAGGAAAATGCATTTGGCCAGATGTTGCTTTATTTGCCTTCTTGCGACTCTGTGAATGACTGTCTTAGTTCTGCAAATCCAGCTTACAAATTATGGAAACCCTAGTCATCAATAACTGTGTGTGTATTTAAGTATCTGGATCTTGATACATGCTTCTGTGTACTTAGGCTTTTTCTGTGGGTCAAGGACCTGTATTTGCTGAAACAACATACAATGATTTGTGTGGAAATGCCTTCTGTTTGAAGAATGTGGACCAATTTGTTGTAGACTCTCAAACTATATATTGTAACTAATTCCAGGGTAAATCCTCAGTAAATACTGATGGAAATGTAACAGTATAAACAACACCGGAATCATGGGGAAAATATGGATGTTGCACTGATTTTGCTTCTAGAAAATGTCTCTTTGTTTTTATGCTGGGGTTGTCCTTTTGTGAGGCGATTGGATAGAGGGGGCCCTGCCTACCAGGACTAATATTATCCTCTGCAACCTTTCAGATGTTCACAAATAGTGATGAGGCGGTCATCAATAAGAAGCTGCCCAAGGAGCTGTTATTACGGTGAGTGACATTTCAAAACACTTAAATCAGAATCTCTTTAGGGCTTTTGTCAAGTGAAAATGGCATTATTGTATACTCCCCTCCCTTCCTACATTCCCAAACGGCACATCCAATCATGCACAAAAGCACAATTGGCCTTGCACTACGCTCCTTCTCAACAACCTCCAAATGTTGTGCATTTCTTTCACAAACATATACTGTTGTGTTTACATGCCCCTTAGCAAATATTTTTAACTAAACTAACCACTGAGATGCAAGTTTCCCCTCGTTCCCCACCCTACTACAGTCACATTGTAATTAAAAACAGATGCCTATAAAGCATTGAAATCAAGTTCAGGCTAAAAAATATAAATAAAATCCAAGAGCCCAAGAGCACACAGCAAATGAAGGCCATAACTCCAGCCTCGGCCTCGTCAGCCCAGCTGCCTGTGCTGTGGGCCAGGTTCATCACCCTGATTTGTGAGGCTGGCAGGCTGCAACGGGACTCACTGCATCCCTGTCTCAACACTAACACAGGTTTTGCTGCATTGAGCGAAGCTTATAGTAAGTTTCCAGCTCTATTGCTTAGAAGCAGATTGCGTGTCTTCCTCTCCAGGTCCCTCTCTTTGAATAAACACATCTCTCTTACAAACAGGGTACATACATTTTTAGTCAAAGACAATATTAGCTGTTTTACTGACACCCGTGTGTTGTGAGGGTGAGCAGAAGCAGGGTTGAGTTGGGCGGTTTACTCTAAAGAGGAAGCTTCTCGTAGCTGGAATCAGGGTCTGTAAACCGTCCCTTTCTGTCTTCCAGAATCTTCTCCTTTCTGGATGTGGTGACACTCTGTCGCTGTGCCCAGGTCTCACGGGTGAGTCTGTGTTCACCAGGTGTGTGTATCCATGTGTGGGTATGCATATGTGCGTGACTGTGTCTGTGTGTTTTAGTGTGTGTATGTGGTATGTTTGAGAACAAACTTGACCCTAAACGTCTGTTTCTTCCCCCCTGCTCTCAGTCCTGGAACGTTCTGGCCTTGGATGGCAGCAACTGGCAACGCATCGACCTCTTCGACTTTCAGAGGGACATTGAGGTGAGTAAATCTGATCTTCATTTACTTTACTCCTACCTTTAACTTCAGTCCTTGTTATTTACTCTTCCCTTCACGCTAAAAGGAGTACTCAAGCCCAACATGATCGTTGGTATACCAGTGACTCACCCTGTGTTACCTTGATTTGTGAAGAAAAACGTTTCTCACTAAAAGAGGTCGAAGAATCAAAAAACAAAGAAGTCTTTTGATGAATTGAAGTAAATGGGGTCCGTGTTTTACAAATCTTTCGCAAAACATCCTTTCACTAACACCCCCACAATCTCGAGCGTATAAACAAAGTCCTACGTACTTAGTCCTATGCTCACTACTTCCTAAACACATGTATTTTTCTAAAACCTTATTATTTGATTCTATTCTCACTACAGTACTTGTAGCACGTCTCTGCAAGCTTGACACTGTTTCTGTGGAGATAAATGAGACTTGGATATCTATTGTTTGTAAACGGATTTGGTGATATTAGTTTTGCTCTTCTTAAACGTGGCCCCCATTTATCTGAATTCAATACGTCTTTGGATTCTTTATTCAACGTGGAGTCATGCTGGAAAAAACAAGTTCTCTTTAAGAGTTCAAGGTAACACTGGGTGAGTAGTTGATTTTAAAGTAATAGTTTTTGAAGGGAATGTTTTTATTTGCTATGTTATTACTTTAAGTTGAGGTTTAGAAGCAGATACAGTCGGCTGAAATAATTGTTTTTGGTTGCAGGGCCGGGTGGTGGAGAACATCTCGAAGCGATGTGGTGGGTTCCTCAGGAAGCTGAGCCTGCGGGGGTGTCTGGGTGTGGGTGACAGCGCCCTGAGGTGAGTTTGGAGAGGACATGGCCTGACAGAAATCTTAGTTCTAGTTCAGAGTCTGGGGGGAGCGACACCAGCGAGTTCTGTGTAACTGACATCACATGAACAGTGTTTTTTCTCCGTAGGACTTTCTCGCAGAACTGCAGGAACATCGAGCTGCTTAGTCTGAACGGCTGCACCAAAATCACTGACAGGTATGCTTATGTGTCTTTTGAAAGGCTGTCTGATGAATTCTACAGATCTTCTTATGTGTATTTATTATGTGTATTAGTAAGTTCTTGCCTAGTTATTTGAAAACTATTGTGTATCTTGTTGTGTCTATATCAGGGGTCTCAAAACTTTTTTCACCGAGGGCCACATACACAAAGATATATGAAGGCTAGGCCACTCACTAGAGGTGAGGTATATTGCCTCATATGCTAAGTTATAAGTTAGCAAAATCAATCAAATGTAGGTAAATTAAGCTTGATACTTGAAAATGCTGTAAGAAACACAACAGCCTACATCACAGCTCTCCATAGGGTTTCATTTATTTTTGCAGATCATCCCTTAAAACAGAAGCTTCAGAAGCTTCAGATTGCTTATAAAAAGATTTGTTATGCAAGTAAGTGATTGGGCTTTTTATATGAACTAAGATTAGTTTGAAAATGTTTCCAACTTTAATTGATTGAATTTATTTGAAAAGTGCGCACACATGAATACTTCGATATATATACATATATATTTAATTAGTACAATATATGACAAGCACCAGTTTAATTTGTGGGCCATATTTCATTATACTATTTGAATTCGCTGAGGTTCGTTTCAAAATGGGTCGCGGGCCGCATTTGGCCCCCGGGCTGTAGTTTGGACACCCCTGGTCTATAGGTTAATTGTAAAGCACATTGTTAAACTGGTTTTGATATTAGCTATAATAAACGTTATTATTATTATTACTTCTGCTTGAAGTGGCTCATTGTCTTTCTCCTCTGCAGCACGTGTAATAGCCTCAGTAAGTTCTGTCCAAAGCTGAAGCACCTGGACCTCGCCTCCTGTACCTCAATCACCAACCTGTCACTCAAAGCTCTCAGGTGTGTACGGTCAACATTGTGTTGTACACTTCCACTGCATTTACAACATCTAAAACACCCTAATTCAACACTCGGATACAAGCTTACATCCCTCATTTATGTCCTTTGTTCAACCCACAATTGTAACAAATCAGCTTTAATGAAATACTCCCATACTTTACAATCCTAGTGTATTTAGTTTGCACAAAAGGTTTGTCAGATTTCCCTCACATTGTGTACTTTCTGTGTAAATTCTGTCCTGTATATTCTCTCCCTCTCTCATTGCTGTGTTCTTGTTTTGCGATCTTCGTCTGGTTTTGTTTCCATCTTCTTTCCTGACCTTTCCTTATTTCCTCTTGTCAGTGAGGGCTGTCCCCTGCTGGAGCAGCTCAACATCTCCTGGTGTGATCAGGTCACCAAGGACGGCATCCAGGCCCTGGTGCGCTGCTGTCCTGGGCTCAAAGGCCTTTTCCTCAAGGGATGCACACAGGTATGCCCAATTATTTCTATTCTGTTATTCCTGCCCCTATTTGTATTGGTTTTATCTGTTTTATGTCCTATATATATTAATGTTGGAGGAGCCTGGGACTTAAGTTGTTCATTGCCATACCTACACTGTAGCTACTGTGCATATGACAATAAAGCCTTGAATCTTGAATCTTAATCAAAATGTTATCGAAATCCCAATATCTGAATCACATTAAGCGCAATATTTGTCAAAATATCTGAAAGTATTTTGGTGCTGCAGAGAAGTCCTGGCCTAAAATGGTATTCTACCAACAAGATCATTTTAATATTGGTTTTTAATGTTTAATTATTGTAGGATTGTTTTCTTTTTTTCACAAATGTACTTTTTAGGAGCCCTTGATTTAGTTAAGTTCTTGATTGAGCTTTGAATTTAAACATTTTATATAAAATACATTATGAGTAACCTTAGCCGATATTGGAAAACTGTTCAGCGCAGCACTCAACGGTTTTTGTACATTTCTTCATAGCGGCCATCACTTATCTCACCAACTACCAAGTTCCTCTTATTTTCGTTCTAATACAACCAGTTGCTGCTACTGCAAACACTTCCTGTGCAATAGAGTATTTCTGAGGAACGCCATGCCAGACACTGTTTACAGCAAATGTGAACGCCTTCATATAGCACCATCCGGTTCTATTAACAGTCAACACTGCAGTGTGGAAATACAACCACATATGTATTTAGGGTTGTCACAAATAATCTATTTAAAGGACAAAACAAATCACAACAGAGGCTGTGTTGCCAGAGCCGTCGATTCAACCTAACAGTCATTTTAACGTTTGTTCAATTATATTGTGTTGAATCGAGATGTGTTTGTTTATAGAACAACTCTTTATATCAGTGACAGTAGAGTGGTTAGGTGTGATAATCCTTATATGTTGGTTTGTTAGATTTTTTTTGGTACATGTTATTGCCATTGTTGTATTTCCTTCCTTTTTAGGCAGACTGGCTTATCAATACAATGTGTTATTTAACAATCTTACCGTTTTTATTGCTGTAGTGTATATCTTTCTTGCCAGACACGTCTGCTATTTATTCAATTAGAGTTTATCTTCACTTTAAAGCTACTACTTAGATTTGTATCATACACGATATTTCCTTTTGGCCCATATGAATGTGAAATCATGTCTTTGCTGTAAAAGAGGGCAATGCTAGTTCCCTGAATAGACAATGTTGGATGATGATGATGATGATGATGATGATGATGATACATTTACCAAATAATAATAGTACTAAATGTATTATCAAAGTACCAAACATTAATGAATGTTCGCCCTCTGTCTTTCTCTGCATTCCCCCCCTCCCCCCCCCCCCCCCCCAGTTAGAGGACGAGGCTCTGAAGCACATCGGGGCTCACTGTCCGGAGCTGGTCACACTAAACCTGCAGACATGTTCAGTAAGTACAGACAACAAGGCGAGAAGATGAAGGTGGAGAACGTCCTTTTTTTTTGCAATTTCACTGACATTTTTCAAATTGAATGCTCGTCTGTTAAATTATTAACCAAGTACACAATGTGCCTTTCAACTCCAATCTCATTGTGGACTTCCAGCTGTTACAGCCTATAATCCACACAACGAGTATATATTTCTCTGGCGGTGCCCATCTTCAAAACCCCCCTCCTTCAGCACCTCCTGAATGCTCTTCATCTCTCCATCTTCTCCTCATCTCACACCTTAGGATCTCATCATCTCCTCTTGTCCCAGATGTTCCTTCTCTTCCCTTTCCCTTGCCTAGCTTTTTCTCACCTATCTATCCTCGGCCTGATCTCCAAAGAGTTTTCTTGAGCTATGCTTGAAACTAAAAATGCAAGGAAAAAGAAATTGCTCTCATTTGCTGAGTGTGGAGATGGTATTCATGAATAAATATGTTATATTACAAATAGCTACTTTTATGAACAGGAAAAGTTTTCTCATCTACCCTTTAGATTTAAGTGTCTCACAAACACCACTCTTGTTTTTCTGTGAGCAGCAGATCACAGATGAGGGCCTCATCACAATCTGCAGGGGCAGTCACCGCCTGCAGTCTCTGTGTGTGTCGGGCTGCGCCAACATCACAGACGCCATCCTGCACGCCCTGGGACAGAACTGCCCTCGCCTCAGGTCAATTCAAACACATACACACTGTTCCTCATACTGAGGCACGCACCACTTCCTAGACACTGCACATGTGGATTATTTCTTTACATTTATTCTGAAAATCAGATTATTTTATTGAGTCATTATTGTCTTTACGCTGTAACGCAGTTTTACTTGAGGACTATATATTAAATTAAAGTATTCTGATTGAAACTCTAGATCCTTGAAAACTGATAGCTTTCTTTGACTTGTCTGAAATGTTGGAAAAAAATCCACTTAATTTTGTTATTCTCTCTTGCATTTTTGATTCGTGCTAACAAGTTTTTAACACTTAATATATGATTGAATTGCTTTCAGGGAAGGATGTTTTTGTCATTGTCGAATATTTGTAATAAAAACTCTTAACAAGAAGGGAATTCACTAATTACACGCAGACCTCATTGAAGGCTGTCTAAATAAGTGACAAATAATGTGTGTATCTGCTCTGTGATTTCAATCAGCTGCAAATTGATGTGTTTTTCTTTCTTGGCCCATGCTACACTGTTTAACCAAGTTTCATGAAAAATCTGGCCAGTTTTTTCTGCAATCCTTCTGACAAACAGGCAATTATGATCAATGACCTCCTTTGCAGAGGTCATTGATAATCCTGCCATAAAATTGAAGCATGGAGAATAAGAATCTGATGGCTAAGAATACAAACATTGGCCTTTCTGCAGTAAAGCTATCTCAAGCGATACTACAGTAGATCCTGATAGATTACCAGACTGTAAGTAGTGCTATTGAATAACTCTCTGCTCCTCTTTTTCTCATTTCAGAATACTAGAAGTGGCTCGCTGCTCTCAGCTTACAGACGTGGGCTTCACTACATTAGCAAGGGTGAGTGTGCCATCTTGGTTACATGCAAAGACTTAATGAACACACATTTGAAGATGATGTCTCATTTGCTTTCATTCCAAAATCATCTTGAAAACAAAATATTTCCACATTCCCAACGCTATATCAGACATTCCCCTCTGTTTGTCACTTTCTCTGCTGCAGAATTGTCATGAGCTTGAGAAAATGGATTTAGAAGAATGTGTGCAGGTAAGTAAACAAACCCAGCAACACAAATACGTTTCCCGCCGCTGTTGCACGAAGACTGCAGCTGTGACATTTGTCTTTTTCTGTCTCCTCAGATCACGGATGGAACACTCATCCAGCTGTCTATCCACTGTCCTCGTTTGCAAGTCCTGGTGAGTGTCATTAGCTACTCCTGTAGCATTTACCCAAACCCCAGCACATCTTGTTCTGGCAGACAGCTGAGTAATGAAGCTCCTTTGTTGGTCCTCCTGTAGAGCCTGTCTCACTGCGAGCTGATCACGGATGACGGCATCAGACACCTGGGCGGCGGCCCCTGCGCTCACGACCGCTTGGAGGTGATCGAGCTGGACAACTGCCCCCTCATCACAGACGCCTCGCTGGAGCACCTGAAGAGCTGCCACAGTCTGGACCGCATCGAGCTCTACGACTGCCAGCAGATCACCCGCGCAGGCATCAAGAGACTAAGGGTGAGTTGTGTGGACTGACATTAGTGAGAAAGCGCTGATTCATATCTAGAATGTACTGTAAGCGCCACATTTGTGAACCTCAATTTTGGTGCAAGGTTGTTTTCATTGACCAGTGATCGTATGTTTTAATTGCCTTTTTTTAAGGTAATGATGTTGTAACCCTAACTGCCCATTGGTTGTGAGTTCAGGCTCAAATATCCAGGCTAGTTTTGGACTATGGAAGGTTATTAATTGAAGTAAAGAAGTCCTTTACCAAAACAGCTTATCACCTCTCAACCTTATAACCTGTGTAAGCTCCGTGCTGCAACACATAATGTATTCAAAATGTGTTGTGTTTTAAAGGAAACTCAATAAGGCAACTTATTAATGAAAGTGTGTTGAAAGTACAAACTATTTAGAGGAATATATTTATAGTCAGTTGGGTGTGGAGCAACTAACTTCCTGGGTAGTAGTAGTGATTTAAATGATGCATGAAATTCAAGATGGCCTATAATTTCAGCTTCAAAACAAAGATTGATTTTTATGAAGACATATCTGTTTCCATCAGTCTGGTAAGGGAAGCAACAGAGTTTTAGATGTCAAAGATTCATTCCACTTTATCCAAATTAAACTCAGTCGGCTCTCCACCCAAACAGTGATGAATCAAGTGAGTGGAATGTTTGTATTTCAAGTATTTGTACAATCTATTAAGACATTTTTCATTATTTTCTCTCTCTCTAGACCCATCTGCCTAACATCAAAGTGCATGCGTACTTTGCCCCCGTCACTCCGCCCCCCTCCGTCGGGGGCAGCCGTCAGAGGTTTTGCCGCTGTTGCGTCCTGCTATGATGTAAAGACAACATCCCCCCCCCCTTCCCATTCCCTCGAACACGCTCCCCGCAGCTCGTCACTTGACCCCTGACCTGCTGTCCTCCTCCTGGCACCCCGTCAGAGTACGTGCTGGTGTGCCCCCCCCGCCCCACCACCCTTTTGAGCTGCAGAGAGAGGGAGAGAGCCGAAACACTCTACAAGATCTTGGGTAACTTTCCCCCAAAAAACATTCCCCAATCTCTCCTCAAACACAAATACAGGTCATGCACAGCTGACTCTCCGATGTGCACACACACATTTAAACACACAGATTTACTCTTCGAAGAATGTCACAACATTCCTGGTCTGTGATCAGTGGACAAACCACTATTACAAAGAGGGTTATATCAAATACAATGCGGTCCCTACTGTTCAAGGGTTTTAACTCTCAATCATATAAAGTAAATAATAATATTCAAATCCAAAAACCGTCGTTCTGTATTTGAGAAGAGTGATACTACTTATTTAGCACTTTGAGACAGATTACAGTCATAGCCTTTAAACAGAAAATTGAAAAAGCTCTCTTAACCTCTCACAAATCCTTCCCTCAGTGTTAACAGCTACCTCTAGACGGGAACTGCACTTGAGTAGATCCCGTGTTAGCTTTGTTCTGCAGTTTATGTCGAAAAGAGCAGCGATGCAGCTAGTAAACTGCCGACACCTCCAACACACACATAGAAAGCAGCAGAAAGCCTATTTTTGTGATTTAAAAAAAAGACTTGCAGCTATTTGCACTTACAGTAAAGCAAGGATGAGACACTTTAAAAAGATGACCATCTCAGACTGTCATTCTACTAACAACACACACAACTACAAATCTCCATGCAAACACTGAGCTTGCTACACCCGTACCCTCGCCTCTCTCTGTCTCTCTGTTACAATCAGATGCTTCAATATACTGAAGAGGAAAAAAGACAAAGTTTAATATTTTTCTAAAAATGGACCCCAATTAAGACTCACAAGTTGGGTCTCGAAAAGATGCCAAATGTTGCATGTAACACCTCTAGTTTTTTAAAATCGAATTGTAAATATATTTGGACTGCGGAGTCCGAGAGTCAAAGCCAGCTAAACGACAGATGATGTTATGAGGTCAGGGCAGAGGTTTCTGTCAGTGGGTCTTTCCGAGGGAACTATGGCGACGCTCACACATGCTGGGTAAAGTGTCTTCGAGATATGTGCTGGCGCTTAATGGACCATCAAAATGAGCCGTCACTTAATCTGGAGTTTGACAGAAGAACTGACTGTGACTGGACTCTGAAAGATTCTGTCAACAGCAGAAACAGACGCTCTTTTGACTGGAGAAAAAAAAAAGTCTGACATTCATGTTGTCAGACGAGAAGAATGGAAAGAAAAGGCCAACTGAAAACAATCCAAGTACGTTTATTTTCAGTAAGTTTGATTTCATTTAGTTGATCTTGTTTTTGCATTGGTGACGATTCTGATGACGAGGAAGTGGTGTGCAGCGGTGACGGGATGCATCGGGGACTTTTCGCCTCCCATGAGGACTTGCAGCGTGTGACACCCTGCCAGCTGTGACGCTGCCCGATGTATAGACCAGATCAGTCACTGAAGGAGGAAGTCAACTGAATCTTGAGCGCACAATTCTGGCCTACTGACAGATATGATAGAATGATTTTTGTCTCATCGGAGGGCGATAATGGACTTCGGAGCCACGCCCTATGAAGTATTGAAGCCTTTTTCTTATGGATTATCTTCTCCTGCACTTGCACCTGCTTTATTCTGTCTCATTTTCTTCCAATTTTCTTTTTATAAATGTGTCTTTTACTGCTTTTCTTTCTGATTTCCTCCACCTTTTTTTTTCTCTTCTTTCGCAGTTCTGTTTTGGTGTGGTTTGGATTGCGCCTGCTTTGTGTTTGAAGTCATGAGTTCAGTGTCTCCAAGTTGAGTTTGAGCCCTCTTCCAGTCCTCAGTTTTGATCTGATGGTGTTTGTGTTTTTATTCAGAGTTTATTGTTACTAAATGTCCAGAGTGTAGCCTTTGTCTAGGGGAAGTGTTGGAGCCAGTGCAATTGTAATAAATGTTCAAATCTGAGTTGGATTTTTTTTAAATGTGAGTTGAGAAGGGGTTCACAATGACATATATGTATGATGTAGGTTCTTCTTATTGTATGTTTCCATCAAGGGGAAGTCGTCAGGATGGCTTTTCAGGCATAGTTTGCCACATTAGCAGATTCAGATTTTTCTCCCATATGCACGCTGACCTTCATTTTATGCCTTGCCCTCTCAAAATGCACCCTGCCCAAAAACTAAATCTATAATGACTGTTCTATTCACTTTGAGATCTGGCGGCTTCAGCAGGCGGAATAATACAAACCGCGATGATTCAGTGTAATCCAGTCTAATCTGTTTTGTTTGAATGGGGGTTTACGGGAGATTAGGGAACAATTTAGAGTCAAGATGGCGGATATATGTAATGTATTCTGTCACTTGCCTTTGGGGTTAAGGAGGTTAACTGGAGGAAAAAGGAGAGGTTCGCAGGATTACAGACTGTGAGCCTGGTTGTTAAAACCCTTAGCGTGCACTGTTTGTTGCAGTGCTCCTTACACTGGTGCTCAAACAAGTCCGACACATTGAAGGGATTACAGGTCATCTTTGACCTGCTCCGGATGGTTTTATATGAACAAAAGAAATGTTATATCAGTCTTTTCATGGTACAGTATACACTACAGGCTCTACAAAGCAAACTTATTTTTCCTCACAGTATCAAACACCGCTTCGTCCTTCTGTCAGACCTTCCACCTGTTCATTCGGAGGTTGAGATTCTGTGCTCTGGATGTGTTTGGGACATAAAACAAACACTGGAGTGAGGACAGAGGACAAGAGATGAATCCAAGGTGTGTGTTCATCCGAAATTGACACCTGAGAAAATTCAAAAACAATTTTGACAATGACTGTAGCTCATATAATTACTGTAAATCTTTTCCTTTTTTTTCTTTCTTTTTTTATTAACCGATATAAATGAATATGTACGTATGAATAAATAAATAAATATATACCTATATTATTAAGACGTCTGGATTTCTCTCTGGTGTTGAACTTGTTCTCAATTCACAGCTAACGGTCGTTTCTGGTTGTCTGACAGCAGATGGCAGCAATGACTCAGTTGTAATGCTCACTCCATCACTGCAGGTCTGATCTCAGGCCAGCTGGAGGCAGGGTTCAGGGTCTGTCAGCTTATTTAATTAGTCCAATTGATTTTCTTTAGTCAGGGTTAAAGTGAGTTAAACCTCCAGTTCCCAAACTGCTATACATGGTTTATTTGAAATAAAATGATCGAGGTGAATAGTTTGTTAATATACATATTCTTGTGAACTTTAACCTTCAAATTCTTTATAAAAACATGTACACTGTAAACGTTTTTATTTCTATTCAACAAAACCACAACTGCAATGTTTGTTAAATAAGGGTTTATGTGTTGATTGCTGTTACAATTTCTTTCTTCTTGCCACAGCAGGGTACATTTGATATTGAGGACCAAATAAGCCACATCAGAACACACAAGTGGACATGCTTTACTTTTCCTTTCAGTTATAAAGATGAAAATATATTGTAGGATTAGAACTTGCACTTGGGTAATAGAAGATTTTTTGTCTAGTCCATTTAAAACAATAGTCAAGCGTCCATATGAACATTTAGTCAATTCTGTGTTTGCTTACGTACACATTTCTGAGGTGAAATCACAGATGAACAATCACGATCAATTTGTTCCAGTGGAAAAAGCAGCAGCTCCGGCCCTGTTACTGCACCATGACGACTGCTGTCATGGCTGGGAGTTGTCTTCCGCCGCATGGGACTCATTTTCTTCGTCTCATCCTCCTTTAGTTTCCCTTGTCTCCAAATCACTGAGTGTGCAATGTGTTTCCACTGTCGTCTTAATGTTCATTTTTACCAGCCTTGTTCCGGCACCTGGGGGATCACATGGCGGATGAAAGGTAGGAGACATTTGAATGTGTTTCCTACAGCATTTCACTTTTCTGTGTTTTCTTCTTTAATCGCTGGCAGATCACTACACAATGCCCCACCAAGACATTGTGTCTCGGTTTATTTTTGACGGCGAAGCCACTGCTAGAAAACTTTCGACTTGGCTTTTTGTTTTGTTTCTTCACAAAGTGTTCCCTTCAGCAGTCACTCTGCTATCTGCTCTGCCCTTGCTGTGAAGCAATAATCAACGTGATAACAGAGGCTCCTTCCCTTTGTCTTCCTCCTGTCTCTTTTCTCCAACACACCCACACACAAGCACTTTCTGACAGTTTGGAGAGAACTTTGATGTCAGACTTAGATACAAAAATATACACTCTAATCCCATTTCTTTGCAGTATTTGCTTTGACCTTTAAAATGCTCCTATCAGATCAACTATCCCTGTCCTCATACCTTAGCGGTGTTAATGCCAAAATCAGCAGCTGTGACTGCACCCTATTGCTTCATTCTCTTTCATGTGATGACTTCTAAAGGGGCAATCAATGGAAAAGCCCCCCTGAAGGGTGGTGAAAACAGGTAGGCAATGTGATTGAATTTGACATTTGAGGCGGCAATCATTGAGCCTTGTTGTAGCTGCTTTAAATATATAATGTAAAGAAAATATAGCCTAGCCTTAACTCTGCATTACAGCTTCAGTATTCAGTGCCTCCGAGGGCAGGTGGGAAATGACACGGAATACATTTAAACAGTCAGTGTTTATTTTCCCACCCAAAAAACAAACTGAAAGTAGCTCATCCCACATGGGTCATGGGTCTGCTATAGGAAATAATGACCATGGTGACTCACAGCTTCGTACAGCCTGCAGAAAGTCCTGTATCAATGTCCTCCACCCTCTTCTGTCACTACTTCAGCATTCTTCTGACATTGATTCATAATAATGACATATTTTATGTTGTTTTTATATGGTGTCACTAGAAGCCTCTCTTCGACAAATCAAGTTTAAGTTTCTGTTTTATTGGTCTCAAGTTGGTTAGCAGAGGTCTATGGAGGCTGTGGTGTAGTGGGTTGTTCGTATAGATGTTCGGATCAGGGAGTCACAGGTTCAAACCCCACTGCAGTCAGCATGTCGTTTATGTCCCTGGGCAAGACACTTCTCCCCAAATTGCTCCTGTGGGGATTGTCCGCAGGATTGAGTATTGAAGTCGCTTTGGATAAAAGCGTCTAACAAGTAACATGTCATGTAATGTCAACATGACAAGTACAATGAAATGAGTCACATAATCAGAGAACTACTCTTCTTTATATTATCATATGTAAATCTGTATCACAGAGATTTTCCAGAAGGGACAAAGCACCACTTTAAATATTATAGATGTGCTCATAGGTTTCTTGGACAAAGTTATTCAGCATAAAAAAAAAGTAGTCGTCTAAGACAAAAACAACCAATTAGTCGACTAAAATGGAGCATTCTAATCTCTAGTATTGCATCATGTTGTGTCTGTGTGCTTGCTTTGCAGTGTTCTGAAACCCATTTAACCCTATGTATTCTATATAATAGCTTTTTAACAAAAGGCAAATTGTATCATATTTAGTCTGTTGGAATTAGTTGCAATTACAGTTGTAAGTATTTAGATTTTCACCAATTAGGATAAGCTACAAAAAAGAAAGACATCCTTTTGTTATAAAAGACTAATTTCCTCAAAGAGAAAAACAGCTCTTGCTTACCATTTGAAAGGTAGTCTATATTTGGGCTTAAAATAAGCATCCGCCCACGACAGTGAATCCTGATTATGTCTAAATCAATCCTGGTAGAGTTGTAAAAATTGGACCAATCATGCGCCCCAGACGCACGAGAGGGCGTGCCTCAGGTTGCGCTTAAATTTAAGTCTGTGCAGTGGTGAAGGACACAGTTCGCTTTGGATAAATAGCCAGCGCCTTCCAGATCACAAGCTTTGTTTGGATGTAATCATACTAAGATATTTTTTCCACATCGACGTTTTTCTGCTTTCAATCTTTTTTTTTTGGGAAACTGTATGACGGAACTGTGTCACATTTTAGTTTCCAAGGCGCCATACGGGATCCTGAATGCTTGTCCTTGCATGGCAGGAGTGAAATATAAACAGCTGGTGTGTGTTTATGTTTAGAAAGTGTTTAATCAACCTGCAGTCGGTTTGTGCAGAGTTAATGGCCATAAGGCGTCCACCTCGCAGCGCGCACACATTCCTGTGATGTGGATCTGTTACACTTTTCCAAGCTTTTATATGGCTAAAGCTCGATATTTCTTATCGACTGGAGACAGTTTGAAGAGTTTTTTTTAATTGTGTGTGTCCTCAACGACTCTTTACTTTACGGTGTCAATGATGACTGAGAACAATGAGATGGATAGCGACACTCAGCTCCAGCGCTCCCCAAGCACCATGTCCATTCAACCGATGTCATCCAAGGCAAGTTGAGCTTTGCTCCCTAAATTAAATACACTGTAATTTCCTACAGTTACAGATCTCTGTAACGACCTGAATAAAAGGCGATCAACTTTGCACAGCAGCTTCCTTCACAAACCGAAACAAAAATATTATTTTGTCCGAATAAAGGGGAGAGATTATTTTTAATGGTATTTGTGTTGTTTTGCTTATTATTAATTGTTGCTAATGCCTTCCTCATTAGTCCACTGATTTATGTAATATTGATTTCAATCCCTCACAATTGCAGTTGTATTGTCATGACTGCGTCACTAGGTGTAACTTCACGCGTAAGGTGTGATGTCACTCTGTCTGCCCCTTTCTCTCTGCCGCTCCAAATTTACATCCTGCTCTCACACACACACACACACACACACACACACACACACACACACACACACACACACACACACACACACACACACACTATACGTTACTTAACTTACGTTAATTAAGTTAGTTAGTCGTACTTAACGTTAACGTTAAGTTTAAC